CGCTGACACATCTCTCGCCCGCTCCACCCGCCTGGTGATAAACAATATGCGCCTCCAGTTCTGCGACGCTCGCCACGCCGCGCTTTCCACTCTTTCAAGGACAATTCTTAACTAATTCCAGTTCTAGCGAGCCCTCTCCTGATCCCATCCTCATTGCCATGTGCGGGCCGGGAGCAACCCGAGCCCTTTTTCGTGCTGCACGCGGGCTGTGGCCAGCAGTCCGGGCACGCTGGATCGGAGAGGGAGGGCGACGAGCTGGAACTAGGCACAAACGCTTAGCGGTAGTTTTAAAGATTGTTTACTTACACTGAGATGGCAGTGGTGTAGGCTGGAAAACTTGCTTGAGTTGCAGTTACAGACACAGACAACACGGACGGTCGCGTGGGGTTTGCTAGGCTCCACGGAACAGAGCTCCGGATGCGCTGGGTGAACGCGCCACCAAAATCGGAATCGGAGACATCTTATAAATTCTTTCCACTCGAAGACGGGAAGAGGTGGGCGATGGATCAGGTCGCCAAACTCCTCTGAATCTCACACAGGGTCTCTATTACCCTGCCGTGTATCCAGAGTCTCCACGAGATGGATGTGTTGTCCTCTTCGGCTTGGGTGGAAACCGCTCAAGCCTCTTATACGGCTAACAGGCCAATCGCTAGCCGCCACGTGTGAATAATTTAAAACTAGCCAATAGCGGGGAACGAATTTGCATACGGGTGGCGGGAACTCTTTTGCCACGTGCATTTCTCTTGCAACGCAACTTGAGCAATGCACTCTGCAAAAGAAGCTGCAAAGAGGCGGGAAACTCGTCCCTGCACCGGGGTTCTCCTCTGCAATAGGAAACTCTCCCGTGCAACGAAGCTGCAACTTGGCGGGGATAATTCTGGTGCCAAGGCACACACAAAATCATGCCTTTGGGTCATGACAAAGAAGTAAATTAATCTTTCGCTGTTAGGTACTAATGACTGGATGTGAGCACTAATGACACTTTTGCCACATTTACACATAGGCTGCAGTAGTGACGATGCTGCTATGCAGAGCCTGGCTGGCAGCCAGAGCATGACTCTGAGAGGCTCAGCTCCTGTTTTGAGCTACACACGCTGCCCGCTTTTTTTTTCTGCGGGTTTTTTTTGACCAGGCTCTGCGTGGCAGAATTGCTGCTGCTGCAGCCCCGGGGGGCCCCCAAGACCCCAGGGAAAGC